ACCCCTATTTCATATATAATTCTTTTAAATTCGGTTGATTAGACTTATTGTTAGAGCTTAAAACACCTATTGTAGATGGGCACTATAAGTTTTACTGCTTAAGTTTTTCTATGTGCCACGGCCCTAACATATTTTGCAATATATACTTGAAAAAACCTACAAACAACATTTTCAAATATATTTATTGCTACAGGAATATTATTAACACTTCCAGTATCAGTTAGCGTCTAGCAAACACTCTTTTTCGAAATTGAAAATTATAAAAAAAATAAAACTGACTTTAAAAAAAAGCTCTAATAAGTAAGAAAAAAACTTAAGAAAATAAAAAAAACTAAAAAATATCAAATAATACTTTTAAAAATTCTTTTCAATTTTTTGAAGTCGGCGCCAAATTAATAATTACTAAATTAATTTGGTGCCGACTTAAAAAATTGAAAGGAATTCTTAAAAGTATTAGTTCATCATACTTTTTAGTTTTTTTTATTAAAAAAAATTTATTTCATACTTTTTTAGTGCTTTATTTAATTAATATGAATAAAAAATAATAATTCATTAGTTGCTTGTGTAATTATTATTGTATATTTCTTTACTGCTCCGTATCTTGATGTTCTAACACGATATTTTATGTAAACCTTCTTGGAGGATTGCTCTATAGGACTGTGAAAACCGCATCCAAATCCGTTCAATAGTTTCAGAGAAAATCGTGGACATCAAGAGACACGGTAGTGTCTCGCGCCAAGTACGCGCGGAGCGATATCCATATATATACGTATACTCACCGAATTGAGAACCTTCTTTTTGAAGTTGGTTAAATAATCCACATACATACTCATCGAATTGAGAACCTTCTTTTTGAAGTCGGTTAAATAAAAAAGTATATAAGTAGCAATCTTTAGGATAAAACATTAAACAATTAAAGTTTTAATATAAAGGTATTTTTTTATTTCTATACGTATAAAATATTGCTATATTTTATACAATTTTTATTTAGTTTTACTTTCGACATATAAGATAAAATTATTTTGATCTTTTTAAAGGATCATCCTTTGAAATGGATCATAAAATTGAGCAGAATTTTTATCATAAAGAATTAAAGCAAAAAATCAAATAAAAAAACACATTGCAAGATAGTTTATGATGTCATAATCGCTTTATCATTAATAATTATCATAATATTAGTAATTGTTAATTTATTATTTTGTTTTTATTATAATCCTGAGTAGAGACTTAAATAACATTTAACAAAATAATATTTCATAAAATAAGTTGCACAAAATAATCTTTGGTCGTTATGTAGGTAAATATGTCTATTAATAATACTAATAAAATTATAAAATAAATATAAGATCACGCGTGACTTTTTGCAATTGCAATGGTGCATAATAAAAGTTGCCGCAAAATTACAATTATTTTTCATATAACATACATATATACATATTATTTCAAAGTGTGCCAGACAGTAACAAGTTTCCTTGGATTTTGGAGCACTGAAAACCAATGTAGCCTCTCCGTCGAACCTCTTACACCTTTTCCAAGAGCCACTTTACCGATGAAGGTATCGGTAGATCTTTTGAATGAACTGATAGATTCTTCGCTATCACTCGCGTCGGCGGTATTGGCAGCTAGTCCTTCCGGTAAAACCTAAAATTATTAATGACTGCAAAACGCGATTTTCTCGTATTATTGTTTCTACAAGCTATTCTTATTCTATTTATAATCTAGGATAGATATTAAATTAGTTGTTACATTTAAATTTGTTTAATAAATTATATAAAAAATGACGAATAAAATCAATCAAATCTCTCTCTCTCTCTCTCTCTCTCTCTCTCTCTCTCTCTCTCTCTCT